GGCCTGTACAGGCTAGAATGATCAAGTGGCCATTGCTTGCTTCAAATTCAAGTAAGGTAGCATAACTTGTACAAACTTCAATCTCAGCTTACAAACACTTAGAGGAACTTATCAAACATATTCCAGACATCAAAACCAAGCTATTGCACGAGCCTTTTACCTCCAATCCCTCCCAAAACTCAGAATCACCTTGAAACTGCTCAAACAGAGCAACCTCTGCAGATTGAGTTCCAACTCTCAATCCTTTCAAGCATTCTTGCCCAAAGCAGTTCACATACATCCCCTAACATCTATGCAAGCTAACCAAAAGCAAAAACACGACCTGTGATCCCTCTAACTGATTCCACCATTTTCACATTTCTGACTTGCAGGTGAAGTGCTCTAGCTCGATTCAAAAGCTTTCAAGACAAAGTAAACATTGGAATAGCATCCCTGGACCTCAAGGAAGCTTTTCCAATCATCACCTTGCACTGAAAGTTTCTACATTTCCAGATAGAACTTCAACTGAACAGGTAAGTTTTTGAATTCGTATCTCTCTTATTAGGCATCATTAGCTTTAAGTTTGTGAATAAACAATGTTCTACTCATGCCACTGAACATGTACATGTTTTTACTTTTCATTTCTTTTGCTTGAGCTGTGAGAATTTAAGGTTTGAAAATGGCAGAAAATCTAGGTTAGAATTTGGGGGAGAAGAAATTCTCCCTCATCTTAGAGAGTTAGATCAAGTTCTGCATATGGTTGGATTCGTCTCTTCATGCTGAACATTTTTTATGTTATGAGTTTTCATTGAAAAGCCAGGAATCAGGAGTTAGAAGTTTGGGAATAAGGGCGCGCGTTTTTTGAACGTTTCTGGCTGGAGGTTGAAGACAGTGGCTTCTTGGGCTGGGCCTGAGTGTTTTTCTTATTCACACCACTTTTCTTGTTTTACACCCCCTGAGCCCATTTCATTTATTTTTAATGATTTCTGACTTTTTCTTTTTTTGATTGATTCATTTATTTTTTCTCATGTTATTAAAAATATAAAAATCTTTTTTCTCACCATTTTTTAATTTATTAGGTATTTATGTGATTTTCTTTTGATTAATGCATAAATAAATGAATATATACATTTCATTAAAATATTGAGAAATATGTAAAAATACTTTTATTTTCATTTTTATTTTATTTTACCTTCTGAAAATATTTTACATAAAAAATACTTTTTTACAAATATTAAAAATTATTATTATTTATATATATAACACATATTTAAAATAATACATATATACATATATTTATTAATATATTTAGGGTAAATACAAAATATATACACTTTTGTTTTTTTTATTATTATTAATATTTAATATAAAAATACATTTTTGACAAATACTTCACTTTATTTTATTTTTGTACATAATAAATAAATACTTGTATTAAATTAAATAATAATACATTTTATTTAATAGAATTAGGGTTTTGCCCTAAATATGAAAAACTCCAAAAAATAATACCTTTTTATTTCCTTTTTAGTCTTACATAAATAATTCTTTTTTCATACATATAAAAATTCTTTTTGCATTCTTGCATATTTGTCTTATTTTATTTAATCTATGCAAAATATTTGTCTTGTAAATATTCAACATTGATGTAATAGTTTTAGGTTTAAATTCCTTGTCAAAATCCCCATTTGAACATTTGTACCCCCCTTCCCATATTTGGTTTTGTAATAGCTTAGTAAATTTATTTTCGCACTTTATTGCTTTCCAATTATACCATGTTAGAATTAGGGTTTGTATGCGAAAAACGATAAAATAGTTATGACCTAATCTCAAGAAAAATAAGCATGAAAATGAACACACAAATCACACTTGCACCCCCTAGGGTATTCCACTTGTTGCCTTTCAAAATTGGGCCATATTGTATGTTAGGTCTCTTTGGGCAAAACAAACAAATCAAATGATCATAGTCCCTCGATAATACTTTCAAAATATTGCCAAAACAAATGATCAAGTCCCTTAAAGAAAATGCCCAAAGATACTTGGCACCATTGCAATTATGGCCTAAACGATGACCCGCGCCTGTCCCTTTCACATCCTAACATAAGATTGTCCACCAAATACAATGGTGGAACAAACTTGTTAAAAGGGTTAAAACATAGCAATAAACTTTGAGAAATTTAGGAGTAGATAACCTCTTAGTTACTTGAATCAATCTTGCAAACTAAAACACTTGCCTATTTCAAAAAACCACACATCACTATACTTTCAAAACAACTTTCAAAAACAAATGAAAACCTTTTCAAAAGACCTACATCTTTGTATACATCCCCACATGGATCATTACAAAGGTTGCCACCACAATGGCTTCTTTTCAAAACATTTTCAAACCCCCACACACACACACACAAGCACCATTTAAAACAATTGAAAATAAAAGGCAAGTGATCTAAGCAAGTAACTAAGAGCCCATGGATAACCATGGATAGAAAGGGTGCTAATACCTTCCCTTTCTATAATCTACTCCCCGAACCCAAGAAAACATCTCAAAGGTTTTTTGCTGTGCTTTTTAACCTTTCCTTAGGATAAAATAAAAAGTCGGTGGCGACTCTTGCTCAACCGAAACATTTGCGAAAACAAACGCAAAACCTCAAGTCAGTTCTCCCACCGTATCACACGTACCACTACCCACATTCAAAAAAAAGATGCCATGATAACCATTATTCAAGATATGCTACAACAAGGCACAATTATACCTAGCACTAGTCCTTTTTCCTCCCCTGTGCTGCTTGTTAAAAAAGGATGGTTCTTGGCGTTTTGTGTGGATTATCGCGCACTAAATGCAGTCACAATCAAAGACCGTTTCCCTATTCCCACGATTGATGAACTATTAGATGAGATTGGTACGACTAAGGTGTTCACTAAGATAGACCTCAGCTCAGGTTATCACCAGATTCATGTTGCATTAGAAGATACGCATAGAACAACTTTTCGAACTTTTGATGGGCATTACGAGTTTCTTGTAATGAATTTTGGCCTCACTAACGGCCCATCTATGTTTCAGTCTACTATGAATGAGATGTTGCAACCTTATTTGAGAAAATTTGTGTTCGTTTTCTTTGTTGATATTCTAATTTCAGTTCTAATTGTAATGATCATCTACATCATTTACAGGTGGTGTTTGATTTATTAGCTACCCATTCTTTTTTTGTCAACTTAGGACATGTGATTTCAGCTGATGGTGTTGCTCTCAATCCAGAAAAGGTAAAAGCAATTTTAGATTGGCCACCTCCTCGCTCTCTCACGAGTCTCCATGGTTTTTTAGGCCTCACTGGATTTTATAGACGCTTTGTTAAAAACTACGCCACTCTCGCTGCTCCTCTCACTGATTTGTTATGTTTCACTAATTTCAAATGGAGTACATAGGCTGATTTAGCCTTTACATAATTGAAAAAGAGGATGACCGACATGTCGGTACTAACACTACCATACTTTACAAAATCATTTTCAATTGAGGCATATGCATCTGGTGTGGCCATTAGTGTCGTATTGTCGCAGGAGGGTCACCCGGTAGCCTTTTTCAGCAAAAAAAGTGTCCTCGAATGCAATCCTCTTCAATTTATGTTCGGGAGATGTTTGCGATCATAGAATCTGTAAAGAAATGGCGTCAATACCTCATCGGCCAAAAATTTCATATTTTTACGGATCAGAAAAGCTTAAAAGTGGACTTCCAAATTACAAGGTTTTAATTTCGAGATTTTTTACAAACCTGGCAAAACAAATGTGGTCGCAGATGCTTTGAGCCAGAAATTTCAGGTGGAGACACCCTTGTTCTTTGTTGTATCCTCCCCAGTTACGAAACTTGTAACCACACTCTGAGCATTTTATGCAACTGACAGTGTAGGGAAACAATTAGTTCAGCAACACACAACAAAACTATTTTCATTTTTCTCATGGTATTCTATACTATAAGGATATAATTTTCATACCAGATTTACAGAATCTCCGTCAGCAAATACTCTTGGAGTTTCAAAACACACCAACAGCGGGACACTATGGTGTGAAAGCCACCCTTGCACGACTACACTCTTCTTTTTGTTGGCCCAACATGTACCTAGCAGTCAAAAGCTTAGTAAAAAACTGCACTACTTGCCAACAGAATAAATATGAGACACAAAAACAAAGGGGGTTGTTACAACCTCTACCTATGCCTAGCAAAGCTTGGGAAGAGTTGACCATGGATTTCATCACCCATCTGCCAAACTCTTTCATCGCGTTGCCTACTAAGTTTTTTGCGCAAGCTCTGTCTACTTGCGCGGTGTTTAGGGTTCACAAGAGGGGTTTCTGAAAGTACTGGGAAGACAGAGAAAGAACAAAGTCTTAAGTAGCATGTAGAAACTTCTCAAGTGCAAGGTAATGTGTTTGATCCGTGCACCGTTCTTAAAACCAAGTGCCAACGGACACCTGCCCCATTATGCCAGCCACACGTGCGTTATCCCAACAACAATGGCACGTGTCCCACTTCCTAAATCTCCCCTTTACAGCTTGCTTCAACTTCCCATGCCACTACTACCAAGACTTCCAATAATTTATCTTTTCCTCACAATGGCAGACCCATTTCGCCTAGAGGCCCCGACCCAATTCCTCACATACATACAGCCCACGAATTTGTCACCTATGAACCTTGAGGACAAAGTTCTTTATGGGCCAAAGAGTATTGTTATGCAGAATACAAGGCCCATTAGAGAGAAAAAACAATTTGTGCTATTAAGAGACTATATTACAAATTAGGGTGTGTGTTAACATTAGTTTAATCATTGTTTATGTTTTTTATTTAAGAGGCCCATGGCCCATTTTCAGTATTTCAAAACCCTAGATCTATAAATTGTATTGCTGAATCAAGAAAGAAAAGTTGTTTTATTTTATTATCTTCTTATGCAATTTCAGATCTAGTATTAGCTTAGCGTAGACTATCATTACCTCTTCATTACCCCTACCATAGAGAACCACACAAAACATTCAGCATGTTTTCACTCTCACATCCTCTCCTCTTTCTTTCATTCTTCACAATAATTCAACTGCTACTACCATCATCAGCTAACTGTCCATCTTCATTTAACTGCGGATATCTCACACAAATCTCCTTTCCTTTCACAACCACACAACATCCAAACTGTGGCATGCTAATCATACACGGCTGCGATGACTCAGAACCACAATCCAAAAAAACCATTCAAAACAACAAAACATGGTTCGATATCACCAAAATCGAACCCTACACAATCACAATCAAAGACCAAGATCTCCACGACATACTGCTAAAAAAAAGTTGCGACATTCTAACTTACAACTCTAAATTTACTGTCAACACACCTCTGGTTTCATCTCGTTTACAGAATTACATAACTGTTTACGGATGCAACACTAACAACACAGTCGATCTTCAACAGTACTATTCTGTTTCTAACTCTACTTCAATCTGTAGAAACGAGAATGATAGTTTGAATGGTGTTTCAGATTCAGATATACAGAGTAATAAAGCTATTGTGGTTATAACTGATTCTATTTCTTCGAATTCCAATCATCTAAGAGGTTGTTCAAGAGCTCTGATTCCAACCAGTTTTGAGGTTAAACGTCTTGATCCGGATCAACTTTTTAACTCTTTAAGCGATGAAATTGCTATCGAATTACAAGTTTCTCAGAATTGTTCTACCTGTCATGATCTTGATGGAGGTCAATGTCGTCTTGATAACTATGCCCAGTTTTATTGTCAACATGGTACTGCTACAATTTACTGAAACTATTTATCTTATATGCAACAAATTCAATTCATTCATTTTATTCGATCTATTTGGCAGATAATTCTAAAAAGACCCGTCTTATAGTGGTTGCAGTTGCATCTTCTGCTGGAGTACTTGTAGTTCTAGCAATTTTGGGTTGGTTCTTAAGAAGGCGTTTTTTCAACGATAAAAACCCACCATACCAAATAATTGAGTTGTTTCTGAAAAACCATGGCCACCTTGCAGCTAAAAGATACACTTATGCAGAGATAAAGAAAGCAACAAATTCATTCAAAGACAAACTCGGTCAAGGAGGATATGGCAGTGTATACAAAGGAAAATTACAAGATGGAAGTCTCGTGGCAGTAAAAGTATTAAGCGAATCTAGTGGTAATGGCGAAGAATTAGTGTCACTTCTCATGTTAACATTGTTACTTTATTGGGATTCTATTTAGAAGGTTCTAAAAGAGCTTTGATATATGATTACATGCCTAATGGATCACTTGAGAAGTTCATATATGAAAACAAAGATCCATTAAAGTTAAATCTTCAATTGAGTTGCAAAACTATCTACAATATTGCAGTTGGAGTAGCCCGCGGATTAGAGTATTTGCATAAGGGTTGCAATACTAAAATCTTACATTTTGATATAAAGCCTCATAATATATTGTTAGATGATGATTTTTGTCCTAAGGTTTCGGATTTCGGACTTGCAAAAGTATGTGCAAGAAAAGAAAGTATCATATCTTTATTGGGTACCAGAGGTACAGTAGGATACATTGCTCCTGAAGTGTTCTCTAGAAATTTCGGCGGTGTCTCTCACAAATCTGATGTATATAGCTATGGAATGATGGTTTTAGAAATGGTTGGGGGAAAACAGAATAACAATGTTGTTGAAGTTGAACGGTCGAGTGAAATTTATTTTCCACACTGGGTTTACAAGCGTCTTGAACTGAATCAAGAGCCTAGATTGCGGAGCATTAAAAATGAATTTGATAAGCAAATTGTGCAAAAGATGATTATAGTAAGTTTATGGTGTATCCAGACGGATCCATCACATAGGCCTGAAATGAGTAAAGTGGTAGATATGATGGAAGGTAGCTTGGAATCTTTGCAAATACCACCAAAACCTTGTCTCTTTTCACCTCCCAGGTCTCCCTCAAAATCATCAGATTATAACACTCACGCATCTCAAGATTTTTATACTTCAGGTAGTTAAAGTACTATGTTCTTAATATTGTTATATTATTATTAATTTAAATGCAGCCTTAATTTTTCTCATTTTTGATGCACTGTTTATTTGCAATTGCAGGGTCACTTCACTACACTGATTCTGAACCTTTAATCATTACGCCTTAGTAGAGTTAGTGGGAAACCACCATCTCCATAAGAGAACAAAACAATATTGTTGTCAAATGCAAGAGACTCGGACCAAAAAAAGTTATTAGATATAAATTAGTTACATTTGTTAGTTGAACCAGTTAGTTTATTAGTTAGATTAGGTAATTGTTCTTAGTTTTGAACTAGTTAGTTATGTAGTTAGATGGTTAATTTGTTTTTATTGGCTCTATAAATCTTATACTTCTTCATGTAATTAACAATATTATCATCTCATTATTCAATACATTTTTGTATTCTATAACTTATATAAAGAATAATAGTATAGTACTAGAGAGATAGTTATTCTATTGAAGATGAACAAGATCTTGGAGTTTTTTGGAGTATAAGAAAGGATATTTTGCGACTTCTAATTATTAATTAATGAATGAAATTTCTAATCCAGTGTTCAATCCAACCAAAATGTCCAGTGGGCTCGGTGACTGGAGTTGCATTTGCCTTGCTGATTGTCTTAGTTTGTTGGTTTAGGGAGAAGATCTTCCCCGCCCACATTTCTTTTGTTCAGGAAGGAGAATCCAACATATCAAATTATTGAAAAGCTTTTGAAGTAGCATGGACCTCTTCCGGTTGCAAGGTACAATTATTCAGATATAAAAAAAATAACAGATTCTTTCAAAAAGAAATTAGGCCAAGGAGGGTATGGAAGTGTATACAAGGGGAAGTTACACGATGGGCTTATTGTAGCAGTGAAGATTTTAAGTGAATTAGATGGTACTGGTGAAGATTTCATCAATGAAGTTGCAAGTATCGGTACAACTTCACATATCAACGTCGTTAGACTTTTGGGATATTGTTTGAATGGTTCTAAAAAGTGCTAATATATGAATTTATGCCTAATGGATCTCTTGAGAAGTTCATATATGAAGACAAAAATTTACTGCAGGATGATCGCCAATTGGATTGTAAAACATTGTATGATATTGCTCTTGGCGTTGCTTGTGGATTAGAGTACTTGCATAGAGGATGCAACACTTGAATCTTACATTTTGACATAAAACCTCATAATATATTACTAGATGATGATTTTTGTCCTAAAATTTCTGATTTTGGCCTTACTAAAATATGTCCAAAAAAAGAAAGTATTGTATCCATATTTGGTGCGAGAAAGAACATTAAGGTTGAAGTGGATTGTTCAAGCGAATCATATTTTCCCCACTGGATTTACATGCGCCTTGAGTTGAATCAGGATCTTGGTTTAAAGTGTATTAAAAATGAAATTGATGAAGAAATGGTAAGAAAAATGATAGTGGTGAGTTTATGGTGCATACAAACCAACCCTTTGAATCGACCATCAATGCGTAAAGTGGTGGAAATGTTGGAAAGGAGCCTTTAAGTGCTTGAAATACCACCAAAACCCTTTTTGTCTTCTCCTTCAGTATCTTCAATCCATTTGTCATCTGAAATATTGTAATTGGTGTGGATATTAAGATGTAATGCAAAGTATGTCACACTAGAAAACAATTTCATGATAATTCACATATATATAAAATGTTACGTAGGGAATTGTAATGATGTATTGATGTATAATTTCTTTTGGTAATTGTTTTATGAGTTGGCTGTTAACAGGTATCCTTATTTCTGCATATTATTCTTAAGTTTCATTTTGCACTCAGCCTAACTTATTTTGGTTTGCTTCACAGTTGACACAAAAGAATCAAGTGCTATACTTTTCTCATTTATGCATTCTACAATTATTGCAAGATTACACAAACAATATGGTTTTTCTTAATCTCTAAGAGTTTTAGGGGTCAATAACTGATAAGCTGTTAAGGATAGTATTATAGTTCGACTGCGTTGCTTCAAAAGTTTACTGCCAGATAGATACTACTTGTAAAGTTTAGGTAGAAAATCAAAGAAATGCTTAGACTTAGTGTGTAATCATTCTAAATATTTTATAAGGAAAGTTCCATTTAGTTAAATATATTAAAAAAGGCAAATGCAGTTAATCACATTTAATCTAAAACAATATCAATAAAACAATTAGAAAAGAATGTCATGATAATTTACATATACATAAAATGTTATGAATCTAATAGAATCGTAATGTTTTATCATTTCTTAGGCATTTATTGTTAGAACTTGAACTCACAAGGTTGATAAATAATTGAGTAATTGAGTGTGGAGAGTGAGAGTGTGAGAGAATTAGAGAGTAAAATTAAGGGTGAAAATATGCAATCCATTATTGATGAGATATTCAAAGGATATATATATATATATATATATATATATATATATATATATATATATATATATATATATATATATATATATATATATATATATATATATATATATATATATATGCACAATACACGATGAGGTATAATTATCTAACAAATAAAATTGAAAAACTCGCAGGTGTAACCGGTTGACATATTATGTCAACCAGTTGCCCTTAGCTACTGACTCCGTTTTTAACTAAAACTTTTAAATTGTAACATTTTGACATAAGAAGTCAACCTGTTGCACTAATTTGAATTATATTATTTTATCAACACACCACATTAATTCAAGTCCTTCAAGTCTACCATGCCCATATGCTTCTTCAATCTCTTGAACACGTCAATCGAGACTCCTTGGGTCAGCAATTTTCCTTTAGTAAAATGTTCTCTCAAGTAGTAAAATTTCATCTCAATGTGCTCGCTTCTCCCATGTGTAATGGGGTTCTAAGCAAAGCTTATAGCGAAAACATTATCAAGCATGGGTGTTACAACATCACCGTATTCACTTCTCGGCTCCTTCAGTAGATTCATTAACCACACGGCTAGGCACACACACAACGAAGCCGCAATATACTCGGCCTAACAAGAAGAGAGTGTCGCTACTGGTTCTTTATTTGAACACCATGAGATTGATCTTCCTGCGAACATAAACATGTATCCACCCGTATAATTTCTATTATCTTTATCTCTCCACTAATTGGAATCGGTAAATTTGAGTAAATTGTATTTTATGCCATTGTCCATAGATCCTTTAATCCTTTAACGTATTTTAGAATCCTCTTGACTGCTGCCAAGTGAGACATCTTCGGTCTCCCCTTAAATCTACTCACAATACCGACACTAAACGCCAAATTTGGTCTTGTATTGCACAAGTAACTCAAGAAACCAATTTGATTCCTACACTGAGTTGGATTAATATCTTACTCATCCTCATTCTTCGACAACTGCAACCTCGTTTCAACCGGAGTAACGACCTCATTACAATACTCCAATTCAAACTTCTTCAAAATATCAAGTGCTTACATTTTTTGGTGCAAGAGTAGTCCCTTCTTGGACTTGATCTTCTCAATCGATTCTAGCTCCTCCTTCATAGCACAAATCCATTTTGGATCACTCAAGGCCTCCTTCATGTTAACGATTCAGATTCGGTCATAAGTGCAAAATGGACGAAAGCACCATTGTCATTGACTTCATTATCTCGAAACAGTTGTTGACGCGTTAAAGCGACAAGTAAAAGATTGGAAGTATTCTGGATTTTATCGTATCCTCGGCGATTGGTGCGAGGGAAAGAATTTCATTCAACAATTTCCATGCTTCTGAGCTTAGTTTTGAATGGTTTTAAAAGTAAGGTGCTGAAAAGTAAAGTTATTAACAGAAAATAAATACATTATTAAAAATAGAGAGAACTCGTCGAGATTGTATTTCATCTACTCGTTAAAGAGTTAAACCCACTGATCAATTATATGCTACCCAAAACACTCGTCAATATCATCACGTATCACTCACACAGAGGTTATCTCTAACGCAAAGTGAGATATCAATCGTATTGCTCTTGGAGGCGATGTCTCACGCAACTCAAACAATATAGGCATTAAGAACCGATAACCCCGTGAATATTAAGCCTAAATCTATCTGTAGAGTCTAGAACCTAATAGATATTCATCCTAAATCTGAATTCGAACTGTACATGTCTGCAGCAACTCAAATGCACATAAAGAACGCAATAATCAATATTGATTTGTAAAATAGATTTTGTACAATACCATAATCAGTACATATACATATAATCAGAGTAACTTACATACAAAACCCCAACAAATGGAAAATTACAAAGGGAAGAAAGGAGAAGAACTCAAATCTCTCGCGGTATCAATCACGATCAAATAAGCTTTCAACCCTGAATCGTCGAGTTGCAACCACCATTGTTGTTGTCAAAGATCTCAAAATATCAAAGAATGGAAGGTGATGGAGTTGGGACATGTCATACCCCAAATTTGTCCTATCTTTTTTACTTTTGTCTAGCTTAGGCTTCGCATTTCATCTACATCACCTTCACTAGTTTATTTTCATATCATACATTTCATTGAATAATGACACCTGGGGTCCAAGATTTTAGTGGTTGCACAATATTAAAGTTTCACAGTGTTTTCAGGAAACTAGGATTTTTTATTCAAGGCCACATTGAGCTTTATCTCCTTCTACAAGTCAATTGCTTATCAAGAGGTTTAAGGGGTGAAACCAAGGAATTCTTCTCATATGGATTAAAATTTTATTTGAGGAGTTTCTTAAGGGACTAAATTTTAAACTAAGATGGCATCAATCATTTTCAAAATGGTTTGAATTTGTCATGAAGATTCGAAATTGAAAGAGGAAGAAAACTTGGATTTGGATTATAAATTGGAAATATTGGAAATTGGTATTTCATACAATGTCTTTGGTTCACAAGTTACCAATTTCTTACACCACAAGTTACTATTTTCAAGATTCAAGTCACTATTGATTATATTGCAATTATTTTTGAGATTCATGCCATGACCATTTGAAACCATACAAAGGAATTTCTTATTATAAGTCCCAAAATTCCCAAATCTAACAGGCCCATTACAAGTCCAAATTTCCCAAATATAACAAGCCCAAAGTTTGCAACAACCGGCCCCATAAAACTGTCCAAACTAATATTGTCCATTCTGCGGGAAAAACCCAACCATGCTGTCCAATGCAATAAAACTCCATAAACCT